CGGCCTAGCTTATAAACTCTGTAAATTTATAAAAACAAAAGAATAAAATTGTAAATCATAATTACAATACGATACAAATAGAGGCCTCGAAAGAAATTAATGGCATGATTCTTTTAGCATAAGGAAGAAGCTATGGTAGAAAAGTATTAGGTTACCACATTTGCTGCATTTTGAACTCCTTTGAAGGCAGAGTTCTAATAGTTATGTAAAAATTAGTCTTATTTCTAAACACTTCGGCTTTTAACCCCACCAAAATCGAAACAGGACAAAAAACAACAATATGTACAATACTAGTGCCTTGGAATGGCATGACTAAACTTGGAGGACATTCGCTCGCTGACATAAACGGCTTGAAAGCGAACACAAGCATAGGCATATCATCGTTGGTTTGGGACTCTGTAATCCCCAGCATTTAAAGTTTTCTGCTGACACTTCACGCCACCTTCAGAGGCTAATAAAAGAAATTTTAATTAAACTGTTTAAAGGTTAATTTATAAAAAAAACACCCAGAAGTAGTTGTAGAGTTCCGAGGTTTCCCTTAGGATGGAAGAAGGCATAAATGAAGTTGATTACATGTATTCCGAAGATGACAGGGCTAACGGGGCCTGAGCGTGGCCCGAAGACCAACTCCTGTGTACAGAGGCCAGACAAACTCTAAAGTGACCGCCCAACGTCATGTGGTCACGTAAACAAAGTATTACAGTAGTGTTCAAGGTGAGTGATGAAGTAACGTTTGGTGGAAAATCGTATTGGGGCACTAACAAACAAGTCCCACTCACATGCCTTTGTGAATACTAATCAGCTCTTGGACGCAATTATTCGCTTTTTGACATGTCCTTTACGTAATTTATTGGATGCACCTCGAGGTTCTAGTTTGTGCGTTCGCTGCCAGAACAGGTGATAAAAGTGAGCTTTGTATTTGAGACTCAAAAAAAAACATACTTAACATTCGCTTGTGCAAATAATCAACACATTTGACACTGAAGATCATAGTTTATCGCTGGAACTTCTTTTTTTAGTGCGTGTGGATCTGTGTGATGGTTGAAGAATTAAAGGAGTCGCTTTTATGCAAAAATGCCACCTTCTATTTGATCGCATTACACAATTTGATTAAAATGATCTAAAGGAATATTCTTTCGCGAACTCAGTTTAAAGCGAACATGTATGCCACTGTGTAACGAAGACACCAAACATCTATTGGGAGTGAGAATAGTTGTCATTTCTTATGCTAAATTCAGTTATAAAGCGGTCGAATTGTACTGGCTTTCTTACAGCTAAGTGGAGGAGATTTAAGTGCGTCCCCTCTGCGTTTGCCAATGCCTTCCTAAATTCTTCTGTTGAATATGTATTATTAAAATAACTTGACCTTTAGTATCCAATTTTGTGCCTGCAGTTATTAACCACCAAAATGTATCCCATCAGTAAGTGATTTTACCTTGATGTAACTCTAGTTTTGAGGCGTGGTTTGTGTTAACCCAAAACTCCAGATGACCACTGTTAATAGTAACTTTATCTGCAAAGCTCCTCTCAACTGAAATTGCGTAAACATTGCCCTTCTTTATATTTCAATGCGGTGACTTTCTCACAGGTCGATGAAATGTAATTCAGTAGACACCCAACTATAAAGTCAAGCAGAACTTGCACGAAGAATAGGAAGGTGTGTGAAAGTGCCTGCAGTTCACCGCAGTTGAGACCCTCATTACTACCATTCCATATGTAGTTCGTACAATATTTATCTTCTCAGGTGCCAATTTGGCAAATGTTGGGTCATTAGCTCAAAGGACAAACTGTTAGGGAGTAGTAACATTTGTCTATCTTAATTGAAGGGCGCTTCATTAAAGTCACTCCATGTTTCTTAGTACCATCGCAGCATGACTGCCACCATCAAATTGGTGCATTTCACTTTGCTCCCCTGTAAGGTCATTATGACAGGTGTCTAAGCGGACGATAGATTCATAACGAAGAATGTGATAATGTCCACGGGCTACAAAAGACAGCCGCAAGCACGTAGAAATGTGGGGACATCGCGCTGATTAGACAGGCTCATATTGGTTTGCCTTCCCTCTTCTCCCATTTTTGCAGTGTTAAAAGTGCTTTTGAAGAGTGCTTGCAACTCCTCATACCACTCCTTCCATCCTCATTTTCGCTTGATCGACACACGCATTTCCAATTGTTGAAAAGCAACTCTTGTCAGTGCATTGCGTGAGTGAAGAGTGGGTGAAGATACAGGGAAGAGGAGGGATTGGACAGCGTTGTCATGGGAATGCGGCAGGCGTCCAAAGAAAGGGCATTAATTTGCATGATCGAAGAACAAAACAACCAATTTTGGCTTTGACCGATGCACGAGGTGAGGGCTAAAAATGTTTCCATCGGATTGATTTGTTGATTAAACCATTTCCATTGGTTAAGTATAGTTTTTGTTGTATTTGAAATATATTTCGCGGCCATTCAATCATATTTTGAACTGGGTAAACGTTGAAGTCGCGAGCCCATTAAGATCAGTGGATCCAAATGTCTGAAACGTAAATCAAAAGAGGAGATGCACGCAGTGTGATAATTTGTGGTTGGTTTTGAAAAGGGAGAGTTGGTCCAAAAGGCTCCAAAATACGCTGAGAAAACTAGTCTGAAGTTTCGATGTCTGAAAAAGAGCACATCTTGGGATAGATTTGCATGCAAAGGTAAAGTATTCGTAGAAGCTCAAAAAAGGAGGAGGAGACGGAGAAAAAACGCTTAAAGATGCAATGAACAAATACGCTGACAGTGGCAACGATACAAATGATAATTTTAATTGACATCTATCATAAGCGCTACTGGCACCACCACCACCACCACATCGTTGAAAGGGGTGAGATGCAGTTCGCGTAGTCGCTACCGTTTTACAAAGGCTCAAAGCGTTGTGCGGGGAGATGAAGACGTGAGGTGTGTGACCTCCTTGAGCATCCATGACACCACTTCCAACATGAGGCGTCTCCAATGGGCCCACTTAGCCATG